CTGACCAACATGGCCATCTACATCAAAAGTACGAAATTCCTGGCAGTGACTAAATCGCTGTTACCTATGGCAGCTGAGGTAAACAGAGGGGTGGAGAGGGATTGTTCCATGTGCGTACGAACTAATTTTTATAAAAGGTGTTAATGTATAATAGCGAAGTGGTTCATTTATATTTATTTAACCAGATATTTAACAATGTGATTGATAAAACAGACAAATTATCATGAAGAATAACTGACAATATTTGGTATATATATATAATGTATGAATAATATAAAAATGTATATATAAAAAATATATAATGGAACACCTAAACTTATCGAGACTTCATCAGTGTCAAACATGATAAAATTATTATCAGTTGTCAAAAAGACAAAAACAAAATTATATTAGGATCTAAAAATCAATGATTATTCAATATCGGTCTCATCACTAGACGAATCAGAGTCGTCGCTATTTAACTCAATCACAACTGGTTCAACAATAATGTCTATCTGAGTATCCAGATCCCACATTCTCTGCTCCTCCCTGATGACGTATTGAATACATTTTTGCCAGTTCTCGCTGGATACGTTGTTGATAGCATTTTGTAACAATAACTTCACATCTGCTAACTTGAAGGTTGTATTGTTCCTTGCTATCTCGCCTTTGACTTGCGCCCATATCAACTCAATTGGATTTAGTTCACAATGATAGGGTGGTAAGCGAAGAACAATAATGGCATGCTGGCAAGCCATTTCATCTATAGCGTACAATATATTGACGTGGGTTTGTTTTGCCTAGCGATATTAAGGAGTTCAATTCTGAGCATTTGTTCCTGGTATGTAATGTTTTTTGTCTTGAGCCAATTGATTATGTCACTTTTTTGCCCAGAACTAGTAGGCAACTTTTCTAGTCGGCCACTGTGACATGGAGCATTATCCATTACCACGACTGAACCAGAAGGGATATCCGGCAAAATGCTTTTGAACCATGCTTCAAATCTATTTGCATCCATATCGTCCTGATAATCTCCAGTATTGTTGGACTCAAATGTCAGTAATCCTTTGTCCACAAACCCTTCATCCCTGCCAATATGTGTTACAATAAGCCTCCGCCCTTTACCTGATAAATTCAAGCGTCTAGGAGAACAGTAAATGAAGGATATTAGTCTTCTAATGACCGACTTTCTTGTATTCCCTTTTTTTCTGATAAGAACCTAATAACAACTTATCATCCGTTTAAGTCACGAATCAGTTTATCTTTGTTTTTAATATAATAAATTATTAAACATAGGCAGCTCCGTAACAGAAGACTGTTTCTTTGGATCCCAAGTCCATTTAACTACGAAAAACTAAATTCAGTTTTTAAGACCTGGCGATTGAAACGTATAATCCGATTATGGTGATTAGCAATGGATGGGATAATAATGGATATATATTATGCTTTAGTGAAAGTGGCAAGGCATTCTGATTGTCTCCTAAAATCAGTGGGGTCATTAAAGTACGATTATAATTATTTACATTATATATGTAGGAAATCAAAGATGTCCAAAATGAATAATGCTGACTTATAAAAATACACAACAGTTATGACATAGAAAAAGTCCAAACTTACCTGTAGGTGATTTCAGTCCTGTAGAAAATCCATCCTTGAAGGCCTGTTGACGACTGGTAATATTCATATCTTGTCATACCTTTGGCGTAGTGTATCCTTCATTCACCCACGTTTCATCGAGATAATATATCTTCCTATTTTCCTATCTGTACTTCCTGCATTTCCGCTAAGTACTTACGTCGCCACATCACAATTTCTTCTTTTTCAATCAGACCTAACTTCCTCGTCCGCTTCAAATACCTAAAGTTCAACTCATGAATCGTTGTTTTTAGGATCCTCATAGAAATTTTCGGAATCCTGTCGTACTTTTCATTGTCAACTGCACTTTTTTGTATTGTAGGCATCTCGCTTCGGAAAAAAAAAAGAATGTACCTATGTGTCTGCGAACAGCATATTTGGTATCCTTATCCATAACGATTTTCTTCCTTCCCCTTGTACTACCACTAGTCGTCGGATGTTCTTCTCGGCTGGTTGAAGTTTTTCTATTGATTATCCGAAAAATTGTTCTTTCAGACACTTTTGTTAAGGTGCTACAAAGTAAAACAGCATCCTGAACACCTAATGTTTTGTCTCGCGCATGAAGTCTGTCGTAAACGTTATGTATTAACTCTCTCACCCCAGTAGAAAAGGTTCTATACTTTTTTTTGTGTCAAACTTTCACTTTGTCGATCCATTATGTCTCGTCTATTCTCAATAACTATTTAATCGCGTTCGAACTATTCTCCTTAGGCTACGCCGCTGGAATGATCCGCGAGTTGTCATGTTAGCAGTGGGGTAGGGACAACGTAGATATACACCAATCGCGATCTTCGGCTACCCGATACCTGACAGAGTTGTCATGTTGTTCTTATAGTCGGCAATTCCACGTTCGAAACTATCAAACTGATGACTTACGAACTCCTCTCTCGTCAGTCAGAGTAGAATTGTGTGTTGTGCAATTAACTGATTTTTTAATTGTTTCAGTTTTTCCGTTCTGGTTGCAGAACGTAATGTGTACTATAGTGCCTCTCAATATTCCCTTTTTTAGCAACGGAAACAGATTTATTACATAACAAATATATATTTTTATTTTTAACTTCTGTAAAGAAATATTGTTCTTCCCATTCCGAATGCAAATGGTATGGCCACATCTTCTTAGTAGTGATTATAATGTTTTTAATTGAACCCCAACTCTAACCCAACCACTGGACTTTGTGCCGTTCAGTTTTAAACTGAGCGCACTGTCGGGTCGCGTGTTACGTATTCATTCCGTTCAAAGTAATCGAGATCGTTCTCGAACAGATCGCTCACCACAATGCTGTCTCTGCTTGTATTTATTATGAGAATTTACGGAAGCTTCTATGATTTTTACACCGTTTTAAGATATGCTGTGAGCTACCAGAATTGCCTTTGCGAGCTACCAGTTGCTAGCGATCGACGGGTTGGCGACCACTGATGTACAATTTCGCGGATTAGAGGATGAGGGTTAGGCGATACGTTGTGACTGAAATTATTAAGTGATGAGTGTATATATTGATCAACTTACATCAATTTCATTTGATCTATTTGTAGTACCTAAGTGTAAGCTTTTTTCTGGTAAATTTTTTGACTGTACTACATAATATGTGTAGACAAGAGTTATGAAGTGTAGAAATAAATTTTCACTTCATTGCACCAATTTTCAGCCGAATAGCGTTGGTAGTGATCCTTGTTAGAGCTGGTCTAGATTTAGACCCGGAAGCGATGAGAAGATTGAAATATAATGTGCTTAAATTATCTTTAATTCCATGGTCGGTTGAGGCGTCAACCGTTGCGATTTTGAGCAAGTTTCTTTTGGATATTCCTTGGATGTACGCCGTACTTCTAGGTAAGTATAATTAGGATCCAAAGGTATACATGTACAAAATAATTTCACGAAGGTCAAATAGCAGAGTTGAATCTTTGGATTGGTATGTTGTGAGCCGAATGGCTAGGTCAACATGGACTCAGATTGAGAGGGTACCAGCAATGCAAAGAGTGGAGAAAAGCATGTTCGTCCTGGAACCCTTTCAGGTTGATTGAACTCCGGATTAACCAACCATCATCTCAAAATCTATTACTACTAGCTCAAATGTTATGTACATATGTCCCATCTAGGCACCTCATGGGCCTGCACTTGGTCCTATCCGCGATACTACATTCTGGCCAATAAATGAGTATTGTAATCTCGAAAAGTCTCGTAAATAAATCAATGATATTACGTTTGTTTCATGACATATTTATCATGGAAATCTATCAGCTCCTTTCTGTCGGTCTGTCTGTCCGTTAAACATTGACACCTATACAGGGTGTTTCAGAAGAGTGTCTAGGGCAAAAAGTACATCCAAAAATAACAAAAAATACCCTGTAATGATGGGTGCAAAGATGATCCGCTACCGAGATACAGGCTGATGAAGTTTCATTTACGAAATTGAAAAAAAAGTTATATCTATGGAGCGGGTAATGATACCGAGTTAAGATTTTTGACGTTTAGTAGGCATACCATTTGTAACTGATTGAGTATAAGACACGCATATCATTCTATTAATGTTGTAATGAGGTGCCATAGCTTTTGTTTACATGCCATCTAGCGTTTCCATCAAGCTACACGATGTTTTCAGAATAAGGGAGGCTAAACCTTTTTATAAGAATATTTTATTTCAAATATTCAAAGCTAAATATCTCCAAAACGAGTGATCTGATAATAATTCCTGAAGAGACAAAGTTTATCGCGGTAGTGGAGCATCTTTGGACACATATTTATGGGAACTTTTTCTGTTATTTTCGAATGTACTTTCTACCCTAGAAATTGGCATGTTTTTCTAACACACTCTATATAGCTCGAAAAGTACAGCTCGGATTTTGATGACACAAGGTTACTACTACGCCAAGTACGAGGAAACTTTGTTGGCTTTGAAGTTCAGCCCAGTGAGTGGCGGCAAAGCTACGGACAAAAAAAAACTCAAACTTTGTTCTTTTGCATTTCGGAGACTCCTGCTCGTATTTGGAAATTTTTTTGAGTGGTAAAAACTTGAGGGTGGGGGCTTGGAGATAGTGGAGATTATATCTTATTTTTTTAGCGTTTGTGTATTTATACGCTTTTGTTTCTTTCTTGATAATTGCTTAGCTTGGAAACTTCATTTTGAGCTATCGAAGGCTTTTTCCATATTACAAATAAAATATAATCTTTTTCTACCCAAAATGCAAAATGTAAGGTCTGGAGTTACTATGTCATGTTTCAGGAACTATAGTAGCAGCAGTGGCTCCCTGCAGTTGTAGTGCCATGTCTGTTTCGTCTACGGTCAAAGGGCTATGGAGTTGTGAAAGGAATACCGACCCTCATAATAGCAGTGGCTAGTATAGGCGATTCCACATCTGTAGCTATTTTTGGTGTTGTGAAAAGTATTATGTTCTCAGAGTCGACGCTTGTAAACACTATCTTGCTTGGGCCTCTCTCCATCCTTGGAGGTAAGCTACCAAGTGCCTACGGTCAAATACTCGAAACACAAATTCTTTCTAAGCTTACTATTTAAGCGATAGTTAAAATGAATTTATTTTGAAAATATGGCGCACTGTTGAGAAATCACGTTACTATGATTACATCTCTTAAATGTCGGCCACATAATGCTTGCCGAACTCGCGTTCTTCCATAGTGTTCTTCATAACTTCCCGCGAGACTTCGGGCTCCATGACTTCGACCTCGTTACAAATAGCCCCCCATGCTTGTCTGGCCAATAAAACCATATACTTTGAAGTTGAGTCATTAATTTTCAGATACTGATTGTAGAAGGAAGATAAACCAAAATATGTGTGTAAAAATAAAATAAAATTAAAAAAAAAATGTACCTTGTTTTATAAAGTATCCTCCCGACAAGTATTTCAGTGCGGACCTGTATTTGATCGTGCGGTCTTGGAGCACCGGCATTTCTCAAAACTGCGGATTACATACTTCTATATAACAACAACAAAACTGAAGTCCATCATACTAGTGGCTTTTGTAAATTTCGAACTGTTTATCCCAAAACACATGACCTCAACCAACATTACCAGGTTATGAAATAATATCCAGGGTGACTTTGAAGTTGAGTCATTAATTTTCAGATAATGATTGTAGAAGGAAGATAAACCAAAATATGGGTGTAAAAATAAAAAAAAAATAAAAAAATGTTACCTTGTTTTATAAAGTATCCTCCCGACAAGTATTTCAGTGCGGACCTGTATTTGATCGTGCGGTCTTGGAGCACCGGCATGCCCTCCCCTGTGAGGTCTTAAGTCACCTGATTCACGAGCCCTTTGTACTACATTAACAAAGGCACGAGGGGTTGGTTGCACTCGATTGGGAAACCGATCCGCATAAATCCGTGATGTCGCGGCAGCATTTTGTAAAGACTCCCCCCGTAAATAAGAATCATGTCCACAAGTTCAGCATTTTCGTAAACATGTGCCATTTTTTATTTCGTTTGAGCCACGCAACAAACACCACTATTCACTCACGCGTTACCGACTGACACATTGACTGAATACAACTGAATAAAATTGTAGTAAAAACATCGTGATAAGCGTTTCAAATTCTTTCACTTTTTGGTTTCCGATGCGACGAACCGATAAGGCGGATTGTATCCGTTGTTGCCAAACACGAGCACATCATATTATTATTGAGACAGGGCGGTACTCAAACTTCTGAAGGGCTATAACTTTGTTACTTTAATTTTACCAGAAAAATGTTAAAGGAAAAAAACATTTCTTTTGATCAGATCTACTCACTGTTAAAATAAATGATTCAACTTCTAGGTCACCCTGAATATACTGACAGATCTTCTTTACTGTAGTAAACGTTTCAATCACTGATCTTCTTCAGGACAATGGCAATATATATTTGATCTATCTGTCTTCCTGTCATTGAACTAAAAAGATAACCTTTGTGATTGAAACACTTACTACAGTAAATAAGATTTGTCAATACATGTGGATTTACTGGCCAGAAAAACATTATGGATTATCACCATGTTAACCATAGGATAGGCTTCAGAAGTTACATGAACCTAGTTACGAATGTTGTATTTCAAGTTAGTAAAAATTCCAGGCACGATTTTATTCCGGTAAATTTAAAGTTAAACTGGCTCTCCTCCGAAATCTTCCTTCACAGAGCCGCTGATTTGTTTCTTGAAGTATGTGATGTAGTTTTATATCGTTGAAACGTCAGGTTTCGATAGTTCTCCACAGCAGTTATCAAAAGATATAAGGTTTTTCAGTGATACGAAGCAACAGTAACATGATTTGTTGCAAAAAATTTGGAATTAGATGATTTATTCTTGGTACTCACATTGAAGCAGTTGCGATATGCACGCTGAGGAATAACGACATACTCCTGAAGTTAAAAAGAAAATAGGACAATTCTTCTTTGCTACGGACCATTAGCAGGGCATTTTTATCATTACACCTTACTGTGTACTTTGATTCATGGTTGCCAATCTCTTCCAAGTAACTTGCCTGTCGTTAGTTTTTGACTGGCATGTAAATAAACAGAAATCAGTATTGAAGTAGTACCAGGAACCTTAGATCTGAGAGATTCTCCAATCTTGAATTACATTAATCCTGTATATACCTGTATATTTTTTTGTTGTTTCCAGGTGTTGCTTTTGGAGTGATTTGGGGTACTATATGCAGCTGCATACCAGAGAAGACTGATCCTTTCGTGGGTCCTTTACGAGTCCTTATGTTGCTTGTAGGTGGTATGTTAGCTGTCTTCGCTAGCGAAATGTTTGGCTATGGTGGCGCTGGACCATTGGGATGTGTTATTGCTTCATTTGTGGCACTGTCGTACTGGACAAAACAGGTAAATTAGATGAGCATTTACATTTACATGACCACAAGTAGAAACAGACATAACCTGGACCTGTACGGAGATCATTCTCAAGTTACACAACCGCTCTGCCCACCATACTATTCCTTACTATTCCCTACCCGTACTAACAAAAAGACGAATGTGTGTATGCATGTTTGTATGTAAGTTGGTTTTTGATGAATTTCAGCATAACGATATATTAGACCTTGAAGGTGGACATCGGATACCTTCTGTAACAACAATAAACTTATTTGAATGGGTTAAAATAGGGGGTAACTGCTATCTTTAAGGTAAGGCGTATAAATACGGGTTTTTTATGTTTGATTATTTTATATAATTTGAATGAATGATACCTGCAAAGGAATTTTTGAAGGCTCACCTTCCTCCTTCCTCCAGGGGAGTGAAGTTTTTGTTGAAGTTAGAATGTGTTTTTTACATAGCTATCTTAACAACTTTAACAAAAACTTCCAGATATTGTTTTTATGCTTACGATGGGGTAAGGGGGAGTTGAATATTTCTATGAGGAACATTATCACTTCAGTATTAAGTATTCAAAAATGTATAACAAATAGAAAAATAATGGGCAAATATCGCAAAAAGAACACATATACATACACATATAGTACTACAATGTGTAGGTTGGCTCTTGTTTGTGACCTTGTGTGTCATTTTCTTTCTCTCTCCATGTTCGTTTCCTCAGATTACACCCGTATCCGGATGTATGGGCATGTGTAGCTACTTTGGTAGTTGCATATGTGCATTCCTTGCGGGCCTGATGAAGCCAGCAAGCAGAAATATATATCGCTCGGGTTACCTATCCTATTTTCTGCTCGAATTTAGTTTCCTTCTTTTTGCGTAACCTGTCCATTATTTTTATATTTGTTACATACCTTTTTCCGCATGATCTTTTTCTCTTTGGGCTTGAAGTACCCCAGCAAGCGGATATAATCTTCCGCGTGGTTGTGGTTAGATGTCACCTTAAAATACTCTAAGTCCTCTAGCCATTTCATTCTACAATGTATAGGTTGGCTCTTGTTTGTAACTATCATTTTCTTTCTCTCTCTATCTTCGTTTCCTCCGGTTACACCCGTATTCGGATGTATGTGCATGTGTAGCTACTTTTATAGTCGCATATGTGCATTCATTTCGGGCTGATAAGGCCAACCCGCAGAAATACTTATCGCTCGGGTAACCGAACATCTTTTATGCTCGAATTCACTTTCCTTCTTTTTGCGGAATTTGCCCATTATTTTTCTATTTGTTATATACCCCTTTCCGCATGATCCTTATCTCTTTTAAAAATTTATATCTATGCGAACATTTTCACTACTAATCTGAGAAGCCGCCATTATTTATCGCACTCCTCTGAGGAGAAGTTACATTTTCACCCTAAATGAATAATGAGTTTATGCATTACTTAGCTTGTTGAGCACAAAATGGTCACAGGTATTAAACCCTTTATCCGCATTAAATATTAGTAATGGTTACTGTTTATTGTTTACTATTATGAATATATAATTGCTTGACATTTAGCCTAAGAAGCTTTCGCTCGGTTTTGTGAGTTTGATGGCATTCGTAAATTAATAGGCAACTTCCGGCACGGAGATCCATTCAAAATTAACCATAGCAATCCAACATTCCCCTGCGCCCAGGGGGGAGGAAGATGGCCATACTTCGGCAAGAGATAAGTTTGCGTGAAAGCAAGCCTTCATTCAAAACCATTTGAAGAGCGAGAGGTAGCTATTTTTTTCAGAAAGGGGGGAATCCTAAAAAACCCCAAAGTTGTACACAAAAGCGTGTTGTAAATTTTAATTGTATGAGTCTGTCTCACCGACTTGATCCATTCAATTTTTTTCTTCATGGTATATGACATTTTTTCCAGAGGGGTTATCTTGTGCCGAACATAATCATTCATGAACTGATGACAGCGTTGCGCAGAGACAACCTGTTAGCCGTAGATTGATATTTTATTTGAACGCAAGATGTGTGTATTGATTTAGGTATGACGAATATGAAATATGCCACATGTGCAACACCCTCAAATAATATGAGAAGTTAGCATTATCTTGTTCTTTATTCAATGAGTCAAGACCAACTGTAGGAAGATTACTTATTTAGGCATTTGGAGTTTAATAACATCAATTCATGTCATCATGTATTCATAAAAAATTAAGTTATGCTGAGGATAGTATGAAACAAAGGACTATCTGATGATTTCAAAGCCTACTTAAAAAATACTGTTTCTTTATGTCTTATATAGTATATTTTAAATTAGGATTGACAAAATCCAATATGGCTTCCATAAGGAAAAATAAAGTTGGTGGTTAAGAACAAAAAAATGAATCATCATATTGGAAAAGTGACAATAATAACGTCCGATTTATTTCGAAATCCCACCTCAAATAGTCCGGAAAGAATTAAAACGAATTTGGGCAATTTGGGTTTCATCATCTAACTCCGAAAATGCGAAACTTTTCAAATGCCATTTTTGTAGTTATCTGCATGCGCAGCTTTGCCCCGTTATCCAACCTAGTAACTCCTACCCTTTCCGAAATCCCACTGGTGAGGGTCAAATTTTAAATACCCGGTATATTAAAAAGCCTAACTTTATCAACATCTAGGGTTGGCACATAGAAGACAACCCCGCAGCAACAGCCTTCGAAATCTTCTGGCGAATCTGTCAACCGATCCTGTTCAGCATAGCAGGAGCCAGAATCAAGTTCCAAGAACTGGACACCAATGTTGTTCTGACCGGATGCACGGTAGTGATCGTGGGGGTTTTGGTCAGATTGGCTGCTACAACGGTTGTGGGTATTGGATGTAAGCTGAATTTGAAGGAGAAGGTGTTTGTTGGTATAGCATGGATGTGCAAGGCTATCGTACAGGTGAGATAACATCAGGATATTGTAGTACTGTAAAATTTTATTTTATGTAGTGGGTTTCCTTTTCCACTATTGTCAAAAATGTTTTTATGCCTTAGATTTTTGCTTTCAACGTCAAAGGGCGAACAGTAATGTAGTTGCGAAAAGTTTCGAAAATGGGATGCTATGTTTTTTGGTCGTCTGCTTCCGCTAATTTTGCAAAGTACCGCTAGGGTTCTGATAAAATTTTGATACAAGATCACTACTATGTCGAGTAAGCAAAAGCTTTGCAAATTTGAAACTCGATTTATTGGCTACGGACTTATAGGTAAGAAACTAAAGAAATAAAAATTGCTAAAACTTAATTTTTTGGCATTTCAATTACTTCATCTCATTTTTGGACTTTTGAGATCTAAAAATATGTCTCTTGAGGTTGGAGTGGAGTGTATCAGTTTTTAGCGTTAATTTATTTATATGCTTCTGAGACAGGTAATTCTACGCACTTATTAGACATATTTCACCCATACATTACCCGCATCGAGTGCAACAAGGATTGATAATAAACCTGTCGCGAACTGACTGCTGCAGTGGACTGAGTTACGGTTCTGCAATGGATCTTGTATCGTTCATGATATCAGTGAAAAACGTTCTATTATTAAGAGGTTGTCTCGAACCTCTTAGATATAGTATTCATACATATTATACAAGCACGTTTTATTGAAACAAAAAAACTCAGGGTTTATTTTTGATAGTTTGAGATATAGAAGTGTAGACTTTTACGATATATCGTAGTTAAGTGAATATACCTGGTCAGGTTTTGATTTTATTACAGTCTTTGGAATAAGCCTAACCAATTATCTTTTTATTGCGTTGGTTAAACATGTGCATAGTTAACTTTTTCTAAAATGGGCTAATATCTGGCAGTTTCATTCTGGCAGCTTCTACTGTATCAGATTACTCTACGTTAACATAATCATGTGAATATTTTCCAGTCTACTAAGAATATATGTTAAGTAGGCCAGCTATATATCTCACATGTAATTGCTTCAATCGATTTTTTTAACCATAGCTCATATGGCCTTAAATTTGGCAATAAACTAATATTATCTAGCATGGAAAGTACAGAGCCAACCTTCTTGACCTTATTTTTCAACGTAATGATTGATAAAAAGGCTATAATCAGACTACTTTCGATTTGGAAGCCTCCAAAGTATAGAGAATTATATTGCAAAGGTTATGAATCTTCAATGGACATAAGATATTCTTCCGGTGCATCTGAACGTTTGTCCCATTAACGAATGCCTTGTGGTTGTTTGACGTCGTGATTAATACTTCCGCTTGAGATTGTTATGTCAGTCAATGAATTCAAATATGCAATATCAAAAATCACGAATTATAAAGAATATTTTAATAAGTTCACCTGTTACCCACGTATAAAGTTAAATTATTTAATGACCTAATGCCTAATGCATAAGTATTATTTCATCGGGAAGTTCGAAATCGTACTTAACTGGGGCTTGCTACTTGCTACTCGGCATGCCAATTATATTTTCAGCTAAAAAATCAGTTATCAGGGCAACTTGTTTGAAAACATTGTAACAATTTCCGCTTATTAGTCTTAATTAATTTAACTATACATTGGCACCTTCATTATTTACAATAATTGTAACATCCTTTCATGTATGTTTGCCATTTACGTCTTGTGATGTGATGTATCACTGTATTTATCAATGAGAATTGTGATATTCTATGACATATTTGATTACCATACTGTGTATGTACCTTAATTAATGTCGATCCAAATAAGTAGTTTACGTAAAAGTCCGGATGAACAAATTTTATACCTAAACAAGATCAAAACGTTACTTTTTTACATAAGTTACATGAAGGGCATAAAGGCATCCAAGCCACAAATATCAATAAGGCTGGTTGGGATTGCGTGAATACCCTCAAAGACCTAGTAATCAAAAGACGATATCCTTACTATGGATGTGCAGACAGGATCGAAATATATTGAGACATATGACCTAGACCGAAAACTGCGGCCAATCGCTTCCTAGGTCCAGAGCCTTTGTTGGGGGATAACAGGACTATCGTCTTCTGTCATCTGTGCCGACATATGGTGGTCCTTGTGTCATTGTGAATATGTGGCTCAGATTTCAAACGTCACAAAACCCTAAGATAATAATAATAATTTATTTGGTATCCACAAGTACAACTGCATGAACATGTATCACGAAATACTCGAATAAATAAAGTACCCACATGGAGGGTCATACATTCCTTGTGCGTGGGTGGTAAGTGCTAACTAATTACTAAGGAATACATAACATATAGAAGTTAATATTGTACATTAGCTGAAAATATGAATAGACAGATATGCTAAATAAGGAAAATCTAAGTTTTAATTATCAGTGATATGATACACAAACACACTCAAGAAAAAAAAACATTTATAGGAACGATACAAATAATAATAAAATACAAAAATTACTTCCATAGTTTGCATCTTGGCTATGGAGTTCGATTACATAAAAACGTAATGCTCACTACTATTAATACCCAATCCCATCCAAAGTAATTGCCATAAAACGTTTCAATTTTTCTATGATGTTTCAGGCAGCTTTGGGACCTGTAGCCTTGAGCATGGTGCCTCACGATTCAGAAGAATACATACACGCAGAAAAAGTCCTGACCACTTGCGTGCTGTCTATCATCATCACTGTACCAACAGGAGCTCTCCTCACTACCATCCTTGGTTCAAGATTCCTTACCAAGACCAAACAGCCCAAAATGACAACGTTAGAGATAAAAAGAAGGTATAGTCGAAGACCGTCCATTAGAGACATCAGCATCATCGAGGAGGATGAAGAAGATTCTCAAGAAGGCGAAATCAAAGAGAAACTGAATGACGTCAAAGAGGAAGAAGTTGTGTAGACTAAATTTAAAATAGGTGGTTGATTATACACGTAGCCTTGGTTTCTAGTTTTACTCGAAAAACAAGTCATCCTTGAATGACGCTGAAGACGCCAAGGGAAAAATAAAGATTTCCGTTAAAGAATTTTCAAGCTTGTTTCACGTGTACAGAGAAAATCCCTATGTTTAGTGAAACGTTTTCTGTTTTCTGCTTACACATACCTAAAGATGCCGTTAGTTTTACCATTGTTTTTTTTGTTATTGAGAATAGTAGTAATGTAGGATCTCTGTGTGATATAAACATAAAATCTAACATTAGATTATTTTGTGATTTACCCAATTTAGTACTACTCCGTACATACTTTTTTTTGATCGTGGCTTAATCTGAGCATTTTTCATCTGACATCTGATAATTATTTCATTATTTGATGAGGTGCTGGTATGATTGTACGTCAAATAGTATTGAATAGTTATATCCATAATTTTGTATAGTCATATCTTACTAATACCTTTTTCAAGTATTCCGTTAGTAACTGTTAGATTAAAAGAAACAAGAATATACGAGTTTTATTTCTGGGTGGAGGTGAAACTTACGGTGATGTCCATTTTGATTTCACTGATGACAAAATATCAAAAATGAAACTAGAAGCTCGGATACAAGTGTTATTTATTTATTCATACACTACTCAACAGCAACAGCCATTTACAGAGTAGAACACAGTCCGAACAAGAAGAAAGAAAAAAGAATTCTTTTATAATACAAGCAAGAATAGGTAGTTCGAACACAAAGTGCCATTTTCAATATCTACAAATATCATAGTGCAGATAAGAAAGCAAAAAAGACAGACAAAATCTCACAGAAATATATCCAACCGTTCTGCAACGTCATTAGCTCTAGTAAATAGTGAAGAAAACTTTAGGATGTTTGTTCTAGGGGCAGGCAAATAAAAAGTATCAAATTGTCCAGAATCTAATCGTGGAAGAAGAAAATTAAATCTATGCAATATATGGCAGCAATTGATACAATTGTGCAATATATTAAGCACAAAATTAACGCAGCACTTATCACGCCTTCCCCTGAGACTTTCTAGTTCAAAAGCTTCTGCTAAATTTTTTTGAGGATAGCCAATTGGCGGGTATTTGCCATTTTCCTTGAAGTGTGTAGATACTTTAGTAATCGTCGCTGGATATTTTCAAGTTTATCTATCCAGATGTTATAGCAAGGCTGCGAAACAACTGATGCATGTTCAAGTTTTGAACGAACAAGTGAGCAATACAAAAGCTTAATTGTATTAATGTCTTGTAACTCACGACCACAGCGTTCAATAAAGCCCAATTTTTTGTAACATAATAATTGTATCCACATGACTATTGAAGCAATATTTACTATTAACAATGACGCCTAAATCCTTGACTTCGCTTAAGCGATTGAGAAGCGCACCAGCAATACGATTGCTTGACTTTGTTGGTATGTCTGACCACATTACACTTCGCAGCAGTCAAAGATAAACAGTTTTTGCGACACCAGCTGTCAAGCATGTTGATGTAACATTGTAACTTACCACAACCATCAAGAGACTGGATCGGACAAAGAAGCTTGAGATCGTCAGCATATAGGAGAAACTGGACATCTTATTGAATAAGCATAATGAAAAATAATGGCCCCAGGACAGACCCTTGAGAGGCACCAGACGTAATCGTGTAACTCTTAGATTTGAAGCCGTTGTGCATTACATATGTGACTCTCTCAGATAGATAGATAGATAGATCAAATATCAATTCTTACGCATTAGATATTAGAGCGATAATTAGCTGATTTCCAAATGTGTCCTTTTGGAATATCGGTAATTTGCCCTCAAAAGTATATTATGAGATAATATAGCGTAAGGCTAAATGATCCTAAGATGTAGGCGCAGTGCATTGGGATGCAGGCTCCGACTTCAGTCATGCTCTAGTATGAATTTAAAATAAATTTAGCTCTAATACAAAGTCCTCTGGAAACTGGACTATGTTACTTTAGTCAATTTCGTACCGATGTTATACGAAGCTTGTCAACTATATGCCAGTCAATCACGATTGCTCACGCGTACCTAATCCATCTCTGACTCTGTACGAACTATATGAAAGCTGCTGAAAACGAACGAGCATGCAAAGTTTGACTTTCAAAAGTGTTGATTCACAATGGTACATAAAGCATAACATATTTTGCAAATATTTGTACAAAATACATTTGAAGTTTCAATTTAGATGTAAGTAATACTGCGCAACCAGTGCAACATTGCATCTGCGTGTTAAGTGCGTCGACAATTATCGGTATTTATCAGAAATGGCCTTAATGTTTTGAGTAATCAATTGTCCTTCTTAGGTTTTGTGTTTATCTTTACATTTCTATCTCAAACATATTCAATATCAATAGTGCTAACTGTAAAATGACTTTTGATATTTCATACCTCAGCAACAGATCTCACAAGAACCTTAGGGGGAATGAATTTTGGTTATTTTTTTAGAAATTCAGTTTTGTCGATTTCAACGCTTAGAACAAAAGAATGTAAGAAGAATAATGATAAATAATGATTTCTGTATCAATCGGTTATATTGCGTAATTATGGGCAGACCTTGAAAATTTTATTGAAAACTCGAACGACTCTCACAGACCAAAATTCCATCTTCTAACAACAGAATTCACAGGTGAAGACCTAACCACACGGGATGGTCCAAGCAAATAGTTGAGGGGGCACTGATGCTGATGTTCTCATTATAGATGGGGCTTGATCATTTGCTATGAGTTTCTATGATCCCAAGGTTTTTCCACGAGTTGCTTCCAAGTTGGACAGTCCGTACCGTATTATGGGGTATTAGGGGGTTGGATAAACATACAAAGAATACAAAGTTGCCAGTACTCACAAAAAACCCTTTGATCTCATGACTTCCATAGGTACCGACATTTTTCTAAAAACTTGGATACTTTTTATAGGTGACTCACTTGAAAAGGTCCCGCACTTTTTTATTGCTTTATATAGGGGTGTGCTGTCGTCAAAAAATTGTTTGTAAAGGCGTCGCGTAATTGTATTAATACAGGGTGATTCATGTCATTATTGTTTTCATGGCATGGACAATGGATTGCAAATATCCGTTGCTAAAAAAGTTGCAGGCTGAAAAAAGCCTTTTGCCCCTTCTTCACTGACTGGCGATGATTCGTCTGTCGTAATATTTTCTTTGTCAGTATCAGTGTGACCAATGTGCCGATTTTGTCATAACTTGGAATATACTGTATGGCCACAAGTTTGAAAACTGATGCAAGGGCGCTGAGTTTAGTAAAAAACAAATGCTTTTGAACCTTTGTATCTGTAATTATTATACAAATCTAGAGTTCAAACTAGAAATACAGCTTTCGTCCATCCGATCACAGACGGTCATCCATGGACAGCTGGTCCGTGCCATTTGGTAACTCCCCGGCTTGATACCAGGTAGGACAATGAACGAAAGTTGAGCAACTATCCTCTATATATATTATAATGTCTATTGCAATAAGATAGCATAAAGTGACTTCTGTTACCTGAATTTAGGTTTAGCTTTATTTGCCCTAGTAGTGACTATATCCCGGTTGACATATTTGAATGAAAATAAATGCGAAATTGTTTATAAAGTGAAAGAAAATGACTAGCAAACGATTGTTCATAAAGGGTGAGTGAATCTGACGTCCAAGACTTTAGTTTTCACTCGTTTTCCTACGTTGTCTGCACGAGCCAGCTCAACCAAGTTCTTTGTAAATATTTCCGCCCAGTCCGAAACAGATTCAAAGAAGCTCTGAAAAGGGTCTATCACGGCTCCAAATTGATCATGGGTTATTTTGGAAATTAGAAGTAAAACTACTCATCGCATTTCTGTGATATCGCGTTTTTGACACTGCTATACTCATAACTCATAGATAAATTTTGTATTGATCTCCTTCGTCCATAACACCTAAACCTGAGATCGTGTTTGAAAAAAAAACGGATTCCAAATGTGCTGCAGCACCAACTTGTCATAGTGAACCGCCCTGTATAGCCACGCGATTCACTTCCGAGGGAATGGGATGCCAGCCACCGACTACCTAGGTAGTTATAGTAAAGCATCTGTTTAGAAAAATATATGGATTGTTTTTTCGCATCTTATTTAAGAAAGACACCTTTTAATGAACCTGCAAGTTGTCAGATCTGAATTTGCGTCAAAAATTGTTTACTTTTTTATTAAGATTGTGCAGAAAAGAGTACTTTTCCGAGCATATGAATGAGTGATCGCATCCAAATGACAGGTAGTATTTCAGCCAACAGATGTATCATCTCAGCCACCGCGGAAGAATCTATTCCTGCGAAGGAGTGGCTCTTCTACTCTGTATTCCGCAATTTGATGTTTATTTACGTTTTTACCATCATCACTACTGGCCAGCACAGTTCCAATGCGGTCAAACGTACAGAGTGCCCAAAACTTGTATGGATGGAGACACAAACCTTTCCAAAAATTGTTAAGGATTGTCCTGTTCCGTCCTTGGCAAAATATAGATACTTCATAAATTTAGGAACATATACAAGGTACATACTAATGACCTGGAAAACATGTTGATTTTTTTATAGACTTTGACTGCAAGACTGGAGAGACATACTTCTGAGTTGTGTAAAGATGTTGAAAATTAATTACTGTATTTTAGCAGATATAGGATTTCTTGAATTCATCGTTCCTTAGAAATGTTCAAATGGGAGTTGTAGTAGTTCGTAGTTTTGCTAAAACATCCAGTGTAGTGTCTTTATGTGACGAAATCAAGAGATGCTTTAGAAAATGCAATTTTTCCACTCCATCTATTAAAGTGGTCGAGATACAGGCTAGCATGCTTTCATGTTTTCAGACATAATATATAACATTAAAAAAAGTCGACAAAACGCAAAAATATTCTGGTCTAGTCAACTATATAATAATAAATATGGAAACAACTATAAAAGAACAACTTTGATATCCACCTCAATATTGGAATGCCACGTATAATGTCGAACATTTTCAGAATGAATGAGGTTTTGGAAAAGTTTGAATCTCAGAGCAGTGCTCCATCCATGCAAGTTTGAGCCACTCTCTGTGTTTGCAGAATTGTAATGTTGGTGAATCGGCCAGTAGTCGTGATCAATAGGAACATACATATGAAACAAGTATTACATGTTCTGTGCAGTGCTCATAACTTGCGGTAATAGGGTAGTAATGACACAACTTCAAAACCCTGTACAACTATTGGAAAAACTTTGAGCTCATAGACAATTTCATTCTACGTCATCATCATTCATACAAAATTCTTAAATCGTACTACCTAGCTCAAGATCCTCTGTGGTAGTGGCAATAGGGCTAATAAATAAGATAACATACCGATATCTGTCAAAATCAAACAGTCTTGGTAATATTTATTGTCTAGAATTTCTTGTTACAGAAAATAAGACAACAATCAATATTGTAAACACAAGTACATTCCTTTTGAAACAAGTTTGAATTCGAGTGACCCGAAGACTCCAAGCACTCTACGCCTTTATTGCTTAGGTCGTTGCTTCTCGGTCTGTGGGTTTCTTGCAGTAGCTGTTCTAATTAAGCATCCGAGCATAAAAACATAAATGTAAATCTTTTCACTGAAAATTCCCCGGAAATGAATTATCCTTTTTTCTCGTTTTACCTGTTATTGGCATTTTGCACGTAGCGATATTCCATGAGAAAATAAGTTTGGCGGTACAATGATGCTGTCAAAAAATGGGTTGACTCTGCACTTTCCACCCAACACCGTCAGTTCATAAAGGAACAAGTTCAGCACAAGTTAAATCCTATAGAAATAATAGATGTTTATATCCTGAATAGAACATAGTCACTATGCTTTCGATCGCTGTCTCAAAGACCAAGCCTAGACCAAAATATTATGAGTTACCAAAAAGACGAAATCAGACTCTGGGAAAAAGGACAGTTACAAACTTGTATATCAAAGAGATTAAATGGAGCAAGTCCGTAAAAGATGTCCTTACAATAAGTCGATAGACATTCTTCCCCTGCCCAGCCCATAGTACAACGTCTCTCTAACACCTGATCGCACGATGCGTGTCAGATGCGGCAGCGCGACACAGGGCCCGTCATAGATTTAGCCAGATTTAGGGGGGGGGGGGGTATCGAAAACATGTCTCTATCCTTCTCAGTTTTGAGCAGGCAACGGCAGGTGAGCGATAATATAATATATATTATATCCTGCGTATTACAGAAATATCGCTCCATGTGTAAACCTATTGAGACGCCACCCACGGACGCTATAAGATATATTTACATTCCAGCGATATATTACGTATCTGTCGGGATATGCTTACCGAGGGATATTCTGGGCTATATCGGGCTATATCTATTCCCCTCTTGCGTCGCGTCACCCGAAAATACTCATGAACCGCTCTTGTTGGCAGCCGGCTTGGTGCGATGTTGCTGTTACTATTTGTTCTTGCACTTCGGAATTCGCAATAGACAAAATAGAGTATTTTAATGAAAGTGTAAGAAAACATCCATGTTTATGGAAGGTAGGCTCGAACGAGTATGAAAATAATGAGATTAAAGAAGCAGCTTGGAGGAGTATCATCGCTTATTGCGATATGTCCGACGGTATGAACTTGTAAATATATATTTTTATATACATAGGTAGTTTCAAAGCTAGTAGTAGGGAAACCCAAGAGGGATTTTAGGATTTACTTATGCGCGGGAGAAAAACATATGGGGGATACATTGTTAATTAAATACACTGCGTACAGCACATATCAGAAGATCAGCCTATGCACAGTAATGCTGAGAAATTGGTAGGTTCGGCACCACTGCTAGAAAAATATGAAAATATATATTCTGTAGTGCGTTGCAGTCATAATATAATATAATATTATAGCGTTTCGTACGACGACCGTCCGTTGTCAGCTTTAAGGGCAAAGGTAGAAGTTGGAAGTATATTAATATGCTAATATAAAAAAACTGCGACATATCCTCTTTCGCCCCTACAAACACGAGACCTCTCAATCTGGTACCCCAAAATAATTTTCAAAAAATGATCAGGATCCTCTGAAACGTCAAAAAACGGGGCTTTAGCGACTTTTATTTTTTCGTTTTTGGCATTTCTTTGCCGCCACTGGACCGATTTCTAAAATCTAAAGCTTTTTTGTCCCTGCCATGATAGTAGCCTTGTGTAAATATTTTATCCAAATCCGATCAGCACTTTCTAACCTATAGACTCGCCAAGGATTTGCTGACAGACCAACGGGCAGACTGATGGAAATGAGTAACATGGTTTTTCGTGATGTAAATGTCATGTAACATCCAAAAAACATAAACATTTTCGCGACTACCAACTTTATCGCCAGTAGGCGTGGGAAGTAACAAATGTACGCTCCGGGTCCACTAGCCATGGAAGACATATAGAAAAATTAATTCTTGCCTACACATATCGACTTTTATATAGAAACTAGATTTCCATATTAATATTCGACGTAGATATGCGTAGATGTTCATTATCATGTGCCTTATCGTCTACATCGTTAATACATACTTGTACAAGCAGCAATTTTGTAAAATATGAGCACGGGACTTTTAAACAAGTATTTCCGACTAGGATGGTAATCGTCTAAACGGCAGTCAGTTGTTTTGCTGAATTGCTCAAATATAGTTCAGTCAAAACACATTTTCCACGTTGTTCCTCACCTTAATGAAAGAATGTTGAAAAGATGACAGAGCAAAGAGATTTAAGATTTTGAGTAAAATTTGAAGGTTTGTTTTTAAAGACTTTATATATTTTTGTAGCTCATAGACAACATATCTTAAAAAAAACCATCTAAACAGTTACAATTTTTGCAAAAAACGAAGCATTTCTATGCAAGTGAAATTGAAGACTAAAGAGAAAGGAAAGGCGTATAGACACGATTGCCTTCATCCAGTTTTTACCTGGCCTATATTAACATGAACTTTTTTCTTCGAATCGCTCACGGTATCACCCTTTTAAATTTTGTCAGGTACCTAACTTTATGCCAGTTGTAAGTTACCATGCCAAATAAGTACATATTAGTTTTTTTTTATATATACCGAAGCAGCCGCTTAGGCAGATGCCTAAATGCCGGGACACCGCGGATGCTATGAGGATCCCAAAGAAATCTTGTTAATCCGATTTTTGAACTACTTAAGGTTAGTAGAACTGAGAAAAGCTTCCTCTCGACAGCCTCGGGCCAAAGGAGCGGTCGTATCGCCCAGTTCTGAATGTACGAAGTTTGACACGGTTAGTATTGAAGGCCAAAGTCAGGCGGGTGTGTCTGGCAGGCACATTGCGCGGCGGTATCATGAAAGAGAGCTCTGAGGAGAAAAGCCCATCATTGGTGTAGCGGCCAGGAGGTGCAAAGCGGTCCCGTGACTATCTGTTAGAGAAGAGTCGCCGATCAGTCGGACAGCTGATCTGGACAGCATCGAGCATAAATTATGTGTGCGGCAGCACCCCAAACGTGGTCGAGGCTAGGCTTTATCTGGGCCTTGTATAGACTGAGAAGGTCATGCGGAGAAAAGTACTTCTTAGCCCTAAACAAATAGCCTAGCTGTTTCGCAGCAGCTGTCGCTGTTGACAAGATGTTTTCGCGCCAGATCAAGTCCTCGGTGATCTGGACCTCGACCAGCCTAAATGAACGGCTCTTTGACAGAACTTGGCCATCCATCGAAACCGGATGGGCGCTAGAACGCTTTTTGTTCGTCAAGGTACAGTACTGTGTTTTGGAAGCATTAAACTGTACAAGATCCATGATCCAAAACTTTTTCCTCTCTCTTGTGTAGCTGAGCTTCTTAATAATAATCGCAATAAGCGATTCACTTAAACCTAATTGGAAAGGAGATTATTTGCGAATTTGATTACTTACAATAACTGCAAACAGCAATTGTGAATATTGAAATGCATACATCTTGATTGTCTATTCCGGTGCATGGACAGATGACACTAAAATGAGTTATGTCTTGGTATGTCACAATGACGTACTATTTTATTACGTTCAGCACTACCAAAGTTGGCATTGCCCTGACAAGTTCAAAAAATAAAGAATTGCTAGTGGAGTTCAACAAGTATTGGTCTTAGAGCCGCTAAGGTAGAAAGTTTAATAAATGATATATATTACTAGAAACTAATTTTTTATATAAGGAGAGCTATATAAAAAAGAATGTGGATATTCATTTTGAGCAAAGAAGTATGTCTGACAAGAACCCCAAAAGAGTAGGTAGCACAGGACTAGTAAGTGCTAACTAACTGTTTGGGAATCAATATGTTTCAATAGAATATTAAGCTTATTGTAAAGGAAATGCTGTGAACCCATACTTCTTGCTCATATCAAGTCTTTCACCTTTGCGTCACTTCTGAATGAAACGGTGACAACAGAAGGTTTATTACTGGTTACTAGATTTTTTCCAATCGAGTGATAGAGCGGAAGGACGTTAATTATATAAGAAAGAAAAACTTGGCATAGTAAAAGAAACAATTTGTGTAGTGATGCTGAATAAGATGCAATGTTTCAAGATTAGTGTATAAATGAAAAGGCCTAATTTGACTGCATATTAGACTATACCTAACGCACGGGGTGTGGGTTGGACACAAGACAAGTGTGTCTCTGTTTACGTATTAATACACACATGTCATGTTCCTTACCCAGATATGCGGGAAATCTGTGGATCAGTTGTGCACCGCTGTTTGTGGCAGGTGAAGTTGCTTCTCGGAACGAAAATGATTCTCCAGTGACGCATATCGGGTAAGTTGGGAAAAATTCCAGATAGGTCGAATTAACGGTTTGTTTTATAATTTGGTATTGTAGTGAAATACCCACTTCTCTACGCGAAAGTATTAAGCAGGACTCATCGTCAATCATGAAAACCAACTTCATCAGTTTCGTCACATTACTTATCCATCAGAGCTCTAGGAAATCAGTACATACTGCAACTATTCTGTTGAAAAGGTATCTTTAACCCCTAAGTCTGAGACCAGTCCATTGTGAGCATTATGGTAGTTAGGTTTTGGTAGTAAAAAAGGTCAGCTTTCGTATTTTTAATGTACCTCTTACTTGATTGCTCAAGATTTGGGGCAAACTGGAAACAGTCATGTTCAGTTCTTGACGTACAGACGAACGTGGTCTAGTCTACCGGTAAGCCCAAACAGTGAAGAAATCATTAAATACAGCTCAACCTATGTTAATGCGTCTCCTTGTTCTAAACGAATGTGCCAATCCTTCCCCAGAACTTGTTGCAATTGACGACAATTATGCCTTCAGCAGTCAAGACACAAGTCTTAGTTTTCTCATAGGAACTGCTTGGACCCGAAGTACTTTTTGGCTTAAAATAGTGCATTGTTTTCGATCAGTTGCACTAGTTCTACCCCACTGATCCCGGTGGTGGGTGGACAATTTGCGCATGTCTGATGCACAAATCTTGTCCTAACTGGGAACCGTAAGTTATTCCCTCCTATAGCACTGCTTAACTGAAAAGCCACACCACGTTCGGACTAGCATTTGCGGTGGATCATATGTAAAAAGACCAATTCTTTTCTAAAGACTGATCATTTTACCGCATACTCATTAAACTGATCGTATGTTTTCTCTTTTATTTCAATCTTCAACTTGACGCATGGTAGGGTGAATGTAACGCACGACTCAATCTTAACTCAAAACCACTAAAAAGCGTTGAGACAAGTTTGAAGGAAAACCGTGAGTGAAGTTGAAGACGGAAGAAGAAGTGAAAATGCATGGTAATAATTGTCTTCATCAAATCTTCCTCTATAGATTTCTTGACCTTCATTCATCTCGATGTATCTCGATGCTTGTATCAACTATATTTACAAGATCGTTAATGTGTTTGGTAGCAAATTGGAATTTTCAATTCAGTTTTAAATAATACTTAGTTTAGAAATGAATATATATTATTGCAAACAAATAGCAGTTACTTATTTTGGGAAACACCTTTGGAAATTTTTACTTTAATTTTAAATGGAAATAGGTAAACCTTTCATGGTATCACACACACTACTTTTAAACTTACCTTAACTGTAACTAGGGTATCTATATACCTGAACAGATATGATTTTTCATACATAAATAATATATTCCTACAGTCATTAACAGTATCAAGTAGCAAGGATATTTTAATTTCCAGCCATGAGGCCATCAGGCTTCCTTTTCAAATCTTCAATATTTGAGTACATTTTATTGATAAGAATCAATATATATGAAAAAAGGCACAAAAAGGATAGGAACATCTAATCTTAAAATAATATAGCTGTATTCAGTTTCAATAATCTAAGAGAACAATTGACCGGTGATTGATCCAAAACCATCATTATTAATATCACACGATATACATATACAGTTGAAAAAACTGTACTTTTGCACATTTAAAGAAAACATACTTCAAAGTGATGTACTGATTCAATCAAATCAACTGAATTCTGGTATATTGTGGCACAGATCATAGTCGCATATTCCTGTCTGACAAAAGTATAGCATTTTTAATCTATTAATGTTGGAGAATCCGTTCTTGTTTCTAATACAAGAGCAAAGTAACTTATAACAGGGGCATCACTTTAAAATCTTATATATATATATATATATATAGAGAGAGAAGAGAAAATTATCATGCGGAGAAAGGTATATAACAAAAATAGGAAAATAATGGACAAAATCCGCAAAAAGTGGATTCGAGCAGAAAATCATCAGGCCCGAAATGCACATATGCAACTACAAAAGTAGAGACACATGCCCATACATCCGGATACGGGTGTAACCTGAGGAAACAAAGTTGGAGAGGAAAAAAAGACACACGAAGTCCACAACAAGAGACAACCTACACATTGTAGTATAAAATGGCTAGAAGACCTCGAATTTTCAAGGCGACAAATAACGACAACCACGCGGCCGGTTATAGCCACTTGCTGTGGTACTTCAAGCCCAAAGGATCTACAAAGAGAAAATTATCATGCGGAGAAAGGTATATAACAAAAATAGGAAAATAATGGACAAAATCCGCAAAAAGTGGATTCGAGCAGAACATAGGATAGGTAACTCGAGCGATACGTATTTCTGCTGGTTGGCTTCATCAGGCCCGAAATGCATGCACATATGCAACTACAAAAGTAGAGACACATGCCCATACATCCGGATACGGGTGTGTGACCTGAGGAAACAAAGTTGGAGAGGAAAAAAAAGCCATTTTATACTACAATGTGTAGGTTGGCTCTTGTTGTGGACTTCGTGTGTCTTTTCGAAGTTGAGTCATTTATTTTAACAGTGAGTAGATCTGATCAAAAGAAATGTTTTTTCCTTTACCATTTTTCTGGTAAAATTAAAGTAACAAAGTTATACCCCTTTGGAGGTTTGAGTACCGCCCTGTCTCAATAATAATATTATGTGCTCGTGTTTGGCGACAACGGATATAATCCGCCTTATCGGTTCATCGCATCGGAAACAAAAAAGCGAAAGAATTTTGAACGATGTTTTTACAATTATTTTATTCAGTTGTATACGTATACAGTCAGTGTCAGTCGGTAACGCGTGAGTGAATAGTGGTGTCTTTTGCGTGGCTCAAACGAAATCAAAATGGCACATGTTTACGAAAATGCTGAACTTGTGGACATGATTCTTTTTTACGGGGGGGAGTCGGTTTCCCAATCGAGTGCAACCAACCCCTCGTGCCTTTGTTAATCTAGTACAAAGGGCTCGTGACTTAAGACCTCACAGGGGAAGGAATATACCGGTGCTCCAAGACCACACGATCAAATACAGGTCCGCACTGAAATACTTGTCGGGAGGATACTTTATAAAACAAGGTAACATTTTTTTTTCATTTTTATTTTTATTTTTACACACATATTTTGGTTTATCTTCCTTCTACAATCATTATCTGAAAATTAATGACTCAACTTCAAAGTCATATATATATATATATATATATATTGTAAATGCGATATGTGAGATAATCAGTTTCAGTTGTATAAGTTTCTACTTTGCATTTAGAAACATTCATAGAGAAATTATTTTGCGAACGCCGTGTAGAAATTAACTGTAAATTATCTTGTAACGCGACACAATCATCAATTGGTGTTTCATTTTTACGTTTAGAAACATAGGTTCCAAAAATTCAGTATAATATAACTGTATAGATCACATACGTCCAATCACATCCAGGAGGACTTTGTAAAGTTCAGGATAGTTAGCGTTGCGAAAGTTGAACCTTGACAAGATAGCAAATGAGATTTTTCTCTGTGAGATGGCCGTTTTGAATTCGAACATCAGCCCAGGATCTTCCTCAGATAACAGGAAACATAAGGAAACAAAGTTTCTAGCCAACTGACACTTCTGATCATCAATATCACTGCGCGTTGTAGCGACAGTAAAGTCATCCAAGATATTGAGTTTATAGTTACTGAAATCTTCTCCGAAATGTCGTCTTGGAAAGGGACTCCTAGGACCTGACAGCAGTTATCACTGGTGAGCTGATATCGTACTTCTTGTCAATCGGTAACGCACTGACTTAACATAGACTGGCTTGAAAATACATCTAGGCAGAACATTTGAAAAACGTAGGCGCAACAGCTAACATAAAAAGTTTAAGGAGCAGAGCAGCAAACGTCACATAGATGGTCAAATATTGATTCGGAAGAAACGTCAACTGACAACGGTAAATGGAAAAGGTTTATAGTCATAGAAACAGAAGCATTTGAAAAAAGCAAGATAACTAGATTATCATCCACCATAGAAGAAGCAACGCTTCATACAACAGAAATGGCGCAAATGACGATATAAAAGAATTTATAGAATCAATAATAATAATGATAATAATGTTTATTGTCACAAAATACAAGTAAATATCAAATATTGTGCACAATAAACATAAAGCACTCAAAAAAAGTTTGCACTTGTGTTTGGGTTTGTACAAAATAAAAACTAATAGTACAGTCAGTGTATGGAAAAAAAACCCGTTAATACTGTATAATTTGGTGAATTATTATGGTAATGTCAGGAAAAATATCCAGACAATTAGAACTAAAGTAAAAGTATGGATGTTAGTGTAAGTAAAATATTATTGATTTTGATAATGATTTTTCAGATCTACAATTTCGTGGATGGAGTACCTTGGTGGTTGTAAAATCCATTTTTTTAGTTCTTTTTTAAATGATTTATTTGATTTAATTACTTTTAATGACTCTGGTATGAAATTATAGAATTTTGGTCCCAAGAAAAACCGTATGATATA